AAAAAACGCAAGCAGCCATCTAGGTGCAACGATGAATCTTTCCTCATCTAGAACAAAGAATGAAGAAAACCAAAGTTGCATGGAAATAATTAGTCCAAGGACTGGTAGACCATGCAATCCTCAGCCTATGTAACCATGAGACTAGTAGAACTAGATGGTCCCTGGCTATAGCTGTCTACCACTCAGGGGGATCTGTGTAGGAGATCCTGGATAGAGTGGGAGAACAATGTGGAATAAAACTCAGTGTTACTAAAAAAAAAAGACCAGGTCTGCTGGTCTGATAGAGCCTAGTGAAACCCCTGAGACTATGGCCCCTAGCCGCCCTTCAAGTTTGGAATTGAACTCACTCTGGTGACTTCCAGCCAAATAAAAAACTGGCATATGGGCTGAACAATTACATTAGGTAGCTACACTCCTTAGATCAATCATGGGAGAATAGAGGGCTGTGTATGCACAGGGAGACCGCTTTCGGCAGGAGTACATGAGAGGGAAGGACACAGAGAAGAGGTAACTACAGGGAGGAAGTGGGAAGAGAGCTGTTCCTTGTGGGGAATTGCAGTCAATGTCATGAGACAAAATGTGTATGAATTGCTGTATGGAAAATGAAATTGTTCCGTAAATCTTCACCCAAATCACAATAGAATTTTTTTAAAAAATAGCTTTGTATATTGTAAACAAAACAGAAAGAAATTCAACCTATACATTTCCTTTGGAGAAATTCCAGCCTATTTCCGCTGAAGTAAAGAGAAAGCAAAATGAAGTACTGTCCATAGCCAAACCGAGAGAGAAGCTCTAGAGAACAAGCATGCTTAGAGAAGTTTCACGGATTCTCCTGTACTTACCCATGGAGGGGTTTTTGTTTTGTTTAAGGTAGAGTTCCTTATGTGAAGCTGATTTTACTGTATCTGTCAATTTTAGGAAGAGAGACCCTGGCATCACAACAGGAACCCACTACAGATCACATGGACTCTATGGTAAGGGCACAGGTATAGATGGGTGATAACCAAATGACTATGGGGCTCTATAAATCCCAGATAGTCTCTGCAGTGCACTTAGTACATCCCAAGAAGTGGCCTTTGATTATCCATGATAGAAGAAGGAAATAGAGGGATATGTACTCTCAAAGTGGCATATTTTACTGGAAGTTGGCCTTGTGCTACAAATATGAGTGAGTCTGAGTTGAAAATGTACTGCTACTGTAAAGCAAATAATGAGATGAACCTGTATAAAGAACTTTCTAGTTTTTTCATTCTACACTGCTATACTTCACCAAATTTCTGTCCTTATTCCCTTGCTGAGAACTATTTGATACAAAAATCCAGGTTGAGTTAAATTTGGGTTCTTGGCTTCTTTTTGATTCCTTTCCTGAAGTAGGCAGGTAACTCTTTGACCTTATAATCTTTTGAGCTTCTGTGATCTCTTTCCCAGGAACATCAGTTGTGAGCCAAGAAGCCTTTCCCAGCTGCTGCAGGCTGTTCGTCTCCCTCTTTCTGTTACTTCATTTTCTTTATATTGTCTTGAGCACAAAGCACAACATAGTACAATAAACTGGCTGTTGCTATGGACTAAGTTTCTCAAGCATTCTCTCCCAATAGAGTACCTGGCATGTGTGGTAGATGATCGGTAAACAATAGAATATGAAGAAAGTAGACAAGGGTTTCCACATTCTAATAAAGATTTATTGCTGCATTGTACTTTCCTTTTAGTTGCTGTTGGAAACTTTGCAAGGTGAGCTGAAGCTTTTTAACGAAACAGCTAAAAAGCAGATGGAAGAATTACAGGTGAGAGGCAAACATCATCCTGAGGCATAATTACTGTTTTCTAAGCACAGTATGTGGATGTATAGAGGACTCTCTGTTTATTTAATTCTTTGGAGATGGAATTTATATCCTGTAGGTGGGTAGATATTTATATACCTATTCTTTTTTTTTTAAATACATTTTATTAAAATATAATTTATCTACAGTGAAATACACAAAACTAAAGTGACGTGGGTCAGTGCATTTTTTTGCAGTGTTCCCTCCCCTCCCCTCCCACCCCTGACAACCAACAAAGTTTCCCTCCATATATAAGCCTTTCCTTGACCCTCCACAACAACAAACTAATACTATATTTGTTCTTCTGTGAATGACTTATTTCACTCAGCATAATGTCCTCCAAGTTCATCCATATTATGCGGTTTTTTGCAGACTCTACATTATTCTTCAGTGCTGCATAGCATTCCATTATGTGTATGTACCATAGTTTGGTCATATATTCTTCCACTGATGGGCACATAGGTTGTTTCCATCTTTTTGCTATTGTAAATAGTGCTGTGATGAACATGAGTGTGCATGTATCTGTTGCTGTCCTGGCTCTCACCTCTCTAGGATATATACCTAGTAATGGAATTGCTGGGTCAAATGGCATCTCCAATTCCAGCTTTCTAAGGAATCACATATTGCTTTCCACAGTGGTTGTATCACTTCATACTCCCACCAGCAGTGTATGAGAATCCCAATTTCTCCACATCCCTGCCAGCATTTGTTATTTTCTGTCTTGTTGAACCTTGCCATCAGTGCTGGGGTGAGATGGTATCTCATTGTTGTTTTGATTTACATCTCTCTGATGGCCAATGATTGTGAGCATCTCTTCATATATTAGCTGGCCACCTGAATATCCTCCTTGGTGAAGTGTCTATTCATGTCTTCTGCCCATTTTTCAATTGGATTGTTAATTCCTTTGGTGTTGAGGCATTAGAGTTTTCTATAAATCTTAGAGATGTGTCCCTTGCCAGATATGTAATTATTGGCAAATATGAATTTGTTGCTGTCATTTTTGTTATGTGCTTTTTTGTGGTGTCGATTTCTTTATTCCATATAATTTTCTATGCCGAGCTTGTTTTGTTTATGAATTGTGGTATCACTTCTTTTGTTACTATTGTTTTAGTATTTACTGAATGTTTGTGCTGGTCCTCTTTTTTATTTTGATGTGAAGGTTTATCATTTTTCTTTGAGGTTATCCTGTGATTTATAGTTTTCTTGCCAAGTTTAGAAGCGGTCTGTTCTATCTTGTAGTTGTCTTGACATCCCTACCATCTAGAAATTCTGTAAAGACACAGTTTTTTCCCTCTTTTCAGTTTGTAGTTATCCTCATTTGTCAATTGATGTCTCTGGTTCCCTGTATGCAATCTTGTAGGCTTATTTACTTTGGATACTTCCATAGCTGGGTTGATTTTTGGGATATATCATCATGTGTGTTAATGGTCAGTTGTTGTTGGCCATTGTTGCTTCTCTGTCCAAAGGACTCCCTTTAGCATCTCTTGTAAGGTTGGTCTGGTTTTAACAAATTCCCTTAGTTTCTGCTTATCTGGAAATCGCCTAATTTCACCATCGTATTTGAGGGACAAGTTTGCTGGGTACATAATTCTTGGTTGGAAATTTTTCTTTTTCGGGGTTTTATGTGATACCGTCCCATTGTCTTCTCGCCTGCATGGTTTCTGTTAATAAATCTGAGCTTAGTTGCAGTGAATTGCTTGATGTGGCCCTTCTAGCCATTGTCCTCCATCCTGCAATGTTTTGTAAATCCCATGATCCATGCCTATTTGGGGTGGTGTGGTAGTTAAGGTCAGGTATCAACTTGGCTGGGCAGCTGGTAGTAGTCATTCCCTATAATGACTGGCAATGACTCTGTGATGGGATTTAGGTTAATTTACAGAGCAAATTCACTTTGCATACAGCAGTTCACATACACTTTGTCACATGACATTGACTACAATTGACTACAATTGACTTCAATGCAACAGTTCCCCTCCTACTTCCTCCCAATAGTTAACTCTTCCCTGTGTCCATCCCTCCATGCACTCCTGCCCCCTGAGCTGTCGCCCTGTGCATAAATAGCCCTTCTTTCTCCCATGATTGTTCTCTCCAAGGAATGTATCTACCTCAGGTAAATGTTCAACTTGTATGCGTGTCTTTTGTTTGGCTGGAAGCCACAGGTGTAGGTTCAGTTCCAGACCTGAAGGACAGCTAGGGACCATAGTCTCAAGGGGTTCCACCAGGCTCTATCAGACCAGCAAATCTGGTTCCCCTTTTTTCTTTTTCCCCCCCAAATGATTTTGAGTTTTGTTCTACATTGTTCTCCCTCTCTATCCAGGATCTCCTACATAGATCCCCCTCTGAATGGTTGACAGTGGTAGCCGGGCACCTTCTAGTTCTTCTGGTCTCATAGTCATATAGGCTGTGGATTGTATGGTGTACCAGTTGCTAGGACTAATTGTTTCCATGAATCTTTGGTTTTCTTCATTCTTCTTTGTTCTGGATGAGGAAAGACCCATCGTTGCATTTACATGGCTGCTTACAAGCTTTTAAGATCCCAGTCACTACTCACCAGAGTAGGAGGTGGAACAATGTTTTGTGTAGTATGTTATGCCAATTGAGCTTGATGTCCCCTGTGACTATGGTCCCAAGCCCGCATGTTCACTTCTTGGTCCCTTTGGGTAGCTGGCTGTGACCAAGAAGTGACTGCAGCCTTGTCCCTTGTCAGCTCTACTATACACCTGGGAATTCATACAAATACACTTATAGGACCATTGTCTGCCAACCCTGTACATGGTCTTGGGTGTTTTGATCTTTTTTCTGATTGATCCCTTTCCAAAGAAGTATTCAGGTGTTTGTCTTCAATCTCATTAATTCTGTCTTCCATTGCATCAATTCCACTCCTTTGCCCTTTCAATGTGTTACCTACTTCTGACAATTTAGTATTAATCTTCTGGATTTCTATCTGTAGATTTAGAATGATTTCTAATTTTTCATTTATTTTGTCATTTTGTTCTTGTATTTTCTTCCAGAATTCTTCTAGGGTTTTGTCTGTGTTTTCCTTGATCTGTCTCTCAATCCTTTGAAGATACCTAAATATAATTCTTTTGAATTCCTTATCAGGGAGTTCCAGTGCTGCATCTCCCTCAGGGATGTGTTTTGGGTCTGTATCCTGGTCCCTTGTTTCTTCTGCTTTATCTTGTTTCTTTGTATGGACTGTGATGCTCTGTTGTGTCTGAGGCATTGTGACTTTTTGTGTTTATATTTAATTGGTGATTGTATGTTGGAGTGACTTACCCACTATTTTCATTTTCTTTGTTTTGTTTGTATGCTATCTATGCAAGCAGGGTACTGTGCTATGCTCCTCTATTCACTAGTTGACAACACTTATACGCTCACCACCTGTCTCCTTTCTGGTTGTCACCTTCTTTTATATCCCTGCCAACCTTGGCAAACAGAGCCTTTTCTTAGGTCCCTCATATCCGAATAAGAATGCTATCACTTTAAAATTCAAAATGGTTGCCACTTGTAAAGATAAAAATGTCTGCACCCTCAGTCACTTTAAATATCCAAAATGGCTACCGTTTGTAAACATTCAAAATGGCCATGCCCTCGGTCACTTTAAATGTCCAAAATGGCCACTGCTTGTAAACATTCAAAATGGCTACATCCTCGATCACTTATATATCCAAAATGGCTGCCACGTGTAAACAATCAGAATCTCTGTGCCCGCCGGACAGTGGAAAATCCACAGCTCAGGTTATCTCCCACCTTGCTGTTTCCCTTCCTAGTCATAGGCCGCCAGCACAGTCGTCCCCACAGCCCTTGGTGATCAGGGCTGATCTTTAGATCAATTCTCAGGTCCCAACACCACTTGGAAATATTCAGGCTGTTGGTCCTGCCAGAGTAACTGACAGTCTGCTGCTCTGACCGTCTCTATACTCACTGTTTTTGTTCAGGTTTTTCCACTAGTTGGTGCCTAATCCACTTCTGTATAGTTCCTTTCAAAGCTCAGGGCTCCAGGATTATCTTCTGTATCTCTGTCAATTGGTTTTTCTTTTCTTTGTTGAAGAGGGTCTGTGTCGCTTGTCTGCTTATTCCTCCATCTTACCGGAAGTATATACCCTGTTCTTACAGTGTGATAACTAAAAGCATGAACTCTGAACCAGACTCTCTGAGTTTGAATCCTGGTTTTGACACTTACTAGCAATATGATCTTGTGTAAATTAATTCATCTCTTCATAAAAATTGCCAAGTCTGTCCGAAGGGAATGGTAATAGTACCCACCTCATCGAGCTATATTTTTTGTTATTTTTATTTTCACTTTTATTTTTTTTTCTTTTTAATTGTGATTTAGGTGAAAGTTTACAGAGCAAATTGGTTTTCCATTCAAGAAGTCATAACACATTTTGTTTTGTAACATTCGTTATAATCCCCACAATTTAACAGCCCTCTTCTCACTTCCTCCCTTTGTTTACTGTTTCCCTTTCTCCTTTCCTATCTCTTCCTTCTTCTTTGCTTTGTTTCTAGGCAAATGCTGTCCTTTTGATCTCATGTGGTTTATTGTTCTAAGGAGGCCTGGTTGTGTAGTTGGTTAAAGCATTCGGCTGCTAACCAAAAGGTTGGCGGTTCTAACCCATCAGCCAGCCGCTCCATAGGAGAAAGATAAGCAGTCTACTTCCATAAAGATTTACAGCCTTGGAAAGTCTATGGGGCAATTCTGCTCTGTCCTGTAGGGTTGCTATAAGTCAGAATCAACTCGATGGCAGTGGGTTTGGTTTGGTTTTTACCCACAAAGTAAATATAAGGGTTCTTTTTGAGGCCTCTGATTTCATTTGGTTTTTTATAAGCCTTTCATTTGGCTGAAAGTTGAGTCACAGGAGTGAGTTCAGTTCCCGGCTTGAGGAGTGTCTAAGGGCCGTAGTCTCGTGTTCAACCGGTCTCGTGTTCAACCAGGTAGACTGATCTTTTTATGATTTTGAGTTTTGTTCCACATTTTTCACCCACTCTATCTGGGACCTCCTATTGTGATCCCTTTTAGAGCTATCAACAGTGGTAGCCAGGCAACATGTAGTTCTGGTCTCAGTTGTGGAGGCTGGGGTTCACATGGTCCATTAATTCTTTGGATTAATTGTTTCCTATGTCTGTGATTTTCTTCCCTCTTCTTTGCTCTGGACAGGGAGAAACCAATAGTTGTACCTTAGATGGCTGCTCATAAGCTTTGAAGACCCTAGCCACTACTCACCAAAGTAGGATGTCGAACATTGTCTTTGGGGACTATGTTATGCCAGTTGACCTTAGCATCCCCCGAGACTATGACTTGAGCTCCCATGCCCAGTGACTCATTCCCTCAAGGTGTTTGCTTATGACGTAGAAGTTCTCATAACTTTGCCCCCTGTATGCTCTACTATATTCATGGATATATTTGCAGCATATACAAATACATAAGTAGGAGTAGCCTCTGTCAAATCTACATTCATGAGTGTAGTCCCATTCCCCATTTTACCCCTGCTCAGCTTGTGTGTCTGTATATCCACTCATAGATTATTGTTATTACTGTTATTGCAGGATTGTGTATGTAATAGTGTTTACCTTTGTTGCCTTTAACTCTTGTGTAGTTAGTTAAAGCATTCGGCTGCTAACCAAACTAACTCCTCCTTGTGTCTTCTTTTGCCTTGATCATTTTGTGCTCATCTCCCCTTTATTGTGTATTACCTTTCCCTTCACCCAAGTTAATACATATCCATCCTTTAGCTAGTGATTTACCCTTCCTTCTCCTGCTACCCCTGGTAACCTTCAAAGAATTATTCTTTCTCTGTAACCTTCTGGTTAACAACCAAATGCCTTAGGCACTAGGCCACCAAAGTTCCTCCAGAAAGGTTGGAGGGAGTAGGTATGTCTTGGGCTATTAATGCTAATAATGATTTTCCTCCCACCCTGTGAAGTTGCACAAGGAGATAAGATGCCCTCACTATGCCAGTTTTACAAGTATTTGCAAAATAAGCTTGACTTTTTACAATAGTGGTGTCTCATGTAATGTTTGTCCTTTTATGATTGACTAATTTCACTTAGCATAATGTCCTCTAGGTTCATCCATGTTAAGAGGTATTTCACAGATCGATCATCATTATTTAATGTTGCATATCATTCCATTGTGTATATGTACTATAGTTTATCCATTCATCCATTGATGGGCACTTAGGTTGTTTCCATCTTTTCGCTATTATGAATAATGCTGTAATGAATGTGAATGTGCATATATCTGTTCATGTCATGAGTATTATTTCTCTAGGATATATTCCTAATAGTGGGATTGCTGGATCATATGGTATTTCTATTTCTAACTTCTTAAGGAAACGCCATACCACTTTCCATAGTGGTTGTACCTTTTCACAGCCCCATCAGCAGGGTATAAGGGTTCCAATCTATCCACACCCTCACCAGCATTTGTTGTTTTCTGGGTTGGTTTTTTTGTTTTTTGTTTTGACCTTTACTATTAATGCTGGGACAAGATGATAACTCATTGATATTTTGATTTGCATCTCTTTAATGGCTAATGATCATGAGCATTTCATCATGTTTTTTTAGCTACCTGAATGTCTTCTTTGGTGAAGTGTCTGTTCATGTTCTCTGCCCATTTTTTAATTGGATTGTTCATCTTTTCATTGTTGAGGTGTTGAAGTTTTCTATAAATTTTCAAGATTGATCCCTTGTCCAATATGTCGTTACCAAAATTTTTTTCCCAGTCTGCAGGTTCTTTTTTCACTCTTCTGGTGAAGCCTTTGATGCGCATGTAGGTTTGATTTTTTTAGGACATCCCAGTCATCTAGTTTCTCTTCTGTTGTTTGTATGTTTTTAGTTATGTTTGATAGTGTATTTATGCCATGTATTAGGGCCCCTAAGTGTGCCCCTATTTTTTCTTTGATGATCTTTATAGTTTTAGGTCTTACACTTAGATCTGTGATCCATCTTGACTTAGTCTTTGTATATGGTGTGAAATATGGATCCGGTTGCATTTTTCTGCAAATGGATACCCAGTTTTGCCAGCATCATAGTAACAGGTTATCTCTCCCCCATTTAATGGGTTTCAGCCTTTGTAAAAGATCAATTATCCATAGGTAGATAGATTTAGATTTACTTCTGGATTCTCAATTCTGTTCCATTGGTCTATGTGTCTGTCATTGTACCAGTACCAGGCTGTTTTGACTACTGTGGCTGTATAGTAGGTTTTGAGATCAAAGAGTATGAGGACTCCTACTGTGTTCTTCTTTTGTAGTGCTTTGCTTATCTGGTATCTCTTTCCTTTCCATATAAAGTTGATGATTAGTTTTACCATTTCTTTACAGAATGTTGATGGAATCTGGATCAAAATTGCATTACATCTATAGATTACTTTGGGTAGTTCTTTCTGTTTATTTTTAATAATTTTTATTTTACATATATAGGAAAATTAGAAAGGCAGACTTCAACTCCCTTAATTTTAACATCTTATGTTATCATGGTATGTTTATCAAAACCCAGTTAACACTGGTATGTTGTTACTCACTAAATTCCAGAATTCATTTGTATTTTACCAGTTTTTCCACTAATATGCTTTTTCTGATCTGGAGGAGTATTTCTTAGAGATGTTCACATTTCCAGAGCATGAGGAAATGTGCAATACACCAGGGTGCTATTGAGAGTTAAGTATGAAATCTGTGCTGTGGAAATTTGATAATGCATATCTCAAGGAAGAATCCTGTAGTAAGAATAAGAAACCCAGATTCTTGGGTCTGGAGTGCTTTGGACAACTTGGATGAATCATTGGCTACTGTGCTGAATCTATAGAATTTTATTTCTCCAAGTTAGATTTCTCTGCTATTCATAAGGTTTTCCCTGGCCCATTTTTGAGAAGTGGATGGCCTTCTCCTTCTTCCTAGTCTGTCTTAGTCTGTAAGCTGCTTTGAAACCTGTGCAACATGTGCAACTCTGCTGGCATCTGAAACACTAGTGGCACAGCCTCAAGCCTCACAGCAATGTACAAGCCCCACAGGATGACAGACTGACAGACAAGTTGGTCTCCCTTAACTGTTGGAAACCTCTGCATTAGATTTAGAAGTCTATAGGATAGAGACATAAATCCCCCAAACAGCACGGATAAATAATCTAAGATATATAGTGTCTTTTAGTATTCCAATGGCCTTCTCAATGGACTAAAAGCATAATGTTCTAATGTGGTATTGTTGACTCTTTGTTGTGTGTGTTTTGGGGTTTTTTGTTTTTTAAGTTTATTTTTCTTATTCTCTTTCTGAATGCAGGCCTTAAAGGTAAAGTTGAAGACAAAAGAAGAAGAAAGGATCCGGTTCCTAGAACAGCAAAACATATGTAACAATCAAGTAAATGATTTTACAACAGCCATTGAAGAAATGGAGCAGTTACTAGAAATGTGATCAGAAGGAAGTGGCCAGATGGCTCCCTCTTGGGGAAACCCACTTAGGACATGTAATTCTGGGCCATGATCTTGTAGGACTCACCATCCTCTAAATGAAAACAGCTTCTGCAGTAGGATTAAGGACAGGTTTATGCTGGAATGGCAGTTCCTCCTTTGAGCATGTGTTCCAAACACTTAGATTGGTCAGCTCTCCTGAGCCTCATTCATAGATAATTGAGGCCTACAAGAAGGGGGGACCTGAAGGCTTGGATCGACTTCCTGGGCAACAAAGCAGCAAGCACACCATTAGAATTGAGAGCCTAAACCAGCCACAGCCAAAGGATCAAAAAGATCACATTCACGTATTCGGGAAGAAAACCTTAATTGTACATTGGAGCACAGGTGCTTCATAGGAGACATCATTGAAAAGCCATGCTGTCCCCTTCTAACTGGTTTTACCAGAACACATTCTGTCCCATTCTGGTTGGGCTTCTATACTTCATTGTAGATTTATGAACTTGAAGTTGCTTCAGTGGTTTGGCCTAATAAGTGGGGTGAAGGTACAATAATAACACCTGAAACAATATACCTTGGAGCTTTAAATCTAAATCACTTCTGTTTTTATAAAAGTGCAACTTTTAAAATAAATAGTTCTATAAATATTCTGACTGTAACAATGAGGAATGAAAATGCATTTTAGCCTAAACATGTTTACTGAACACTATTGAACTAGTTAACAAGTTCAAGGCTCTTTGGTTTTCTTTGTTTTGTTTTGTTTTTTATTTATTTTTATTGTGATTTGGGTGAAGATTTACAGAGCAAATTCACTTTCCATACAGCAGTTCACATATACTTTGTCTTATGTCATTGACCACAGTTTACCAC